CTCATCCGTCGATGAACACTTAGGTTGTTTCCATATCTTGGTTGTTGTGAATAGTGTCACAATAAACACGGGAGTGCAAATATCTTTAAGAGGTGGTGCTTTCATTTCCTTTGGGGATATGCTCAAAAGAGGGTTGGCTGGGTCATATGGTAGTTCTACTTTTAATTTCTTTAGGAAGCTCATACTGTTTTTCATAATGGCTATACCAATGTATATTTCTACCATACCCCTGCCAACATTTGTTATCTCTTGACTCTTTGATAATAGCTATCCTATTATGGGTGGGAGAGGTGGGAGGTGGTATCTCATTATGGTTTTGATTTTCATTTCCCTGATTAATAATATTGAGTACCTTTTCATACCTTTTAGTAAATGTTATATCTTCTTAAGAGAAATGTCTACTTAGGGTCCTTGATAATTTTTTGTTTAGGTTATTGGTTTCTCTACCATTGAGTCATATGAGATCTTTATGAATTCTAAATATTAAGCTCTTATCAGACATATGGTCTGCAAACATTTTTTCCCAATCCACAGGTTGCTGTTTCATTTTATTGATTGTTTCTTTTACTGTGCAGAAGCTCTTTAGTTTGATGTCATCCCATCATTTATTTTTGCTTTTGTATCCAAAGCTTTCAGTATGATATCCAAAAATCACTGCCAAGAACAAGGTGAAGGAGTTTTTTCCCTATGTTCTCTTCTCAGAGTTTTACAGTTCAGGTCTTACATTTAGGGCTTTTATTCATTTTTATTTTTGCCCATGATGTAAGATTAACAGTCCAATTTCAATCTTGTACATGTGGAAATCCAGGAATTTTTAGCACCATTTATGGAAGAGACTACCCTTTCCCTGTTGTGACCTCTTGGTGTCCTTGTGGAATAATAGTTGACCCTATACATTTAGACTTATTTCTGAGCTCTCTCTAGTAGACCAAGTTTCTTGAAGGAAATGATCATACTTAATTCTTTAGCAAATTTGTTGGTATAGAGTAGATGCTGATAAAGGATTTTGGTGAATCACAGCATAGCCACTTGTCAATGTATCAGAACACAACAATGCTCTGGATTTTTCTCATTCTGACCCACATTTTACTTAGAGTGCTGACAGAGACTCTCTAACTCCATGCTCCAGACTCCTCAGAAATATGTCTGTGTTCCTCCATTGTCTTGACTGAAAACCTCGGCTTTGATGTCAGGTATGGGTAATCAATAAAATGTGATACTTCTGTAACTTTCCCTCTTGCTTCTTAATTGTCTTCAATATAGTACAGTTATTTAAATACTTCTGCAAAAGCTTTACCACAAATAGCCACCCTTCTTTTTCTTCTTTATTAATTTTCCAGGCATGCTAGGATAACTTTAGCATCATTGAAGTAGAATGCCAAAAGGACAGAGGCACTGCCCTGAAAAAGGAGAAACTGAAAGGAGACTGTCAAAGATTTAAAAATACATAGAACTAGCCAAGATCTATAGTTTTATGATCATGAACTATTTCTTTACTGGTACAGTGTCATTTGAAAGAACATTCTAAACCATAATGTAGCTCTCTGCCATTAGTTGTACTGAAATGGCAATTGTTTAGAATAATAAAACTATTATGATATCAAAAAGAATTTAATAAAGAAAGTTCCTAATACATTGTTCTTTAAAATGTATTTATTGTGGTAAGAAAACTTAGTGCAACATCTACCCTCTTAACAAGTTTTTAAGTGTAAAATATCTTGTTGTTGACTATAGGTACAATGTTGTATAGCAGATTTTTAGAGCTTATTCATCTTGCTGGACTGAAACGTAATGCCTATTGATGAGTAACTTTCCATTTCTCCATCTCCTTCCCCTAAACCATTCTTCTCTCTGATTCTAGAAATTTGACTATTTTAGCTACCTCATTTTAAGTGGTATCATGCAACAACTATCTTTCTGTGACTGGCTAGAATACATTCTTGTTCCCATATTTTGAGTTTTATCTTCCATTTATTTAAAATGTCATACTCCAATACAGCAAAACAGAAAGTTAATGAGGTGTTTTCATTCGTCGCTACTCGTTTGCTCTCACCAGTAAGTCATTCTCAATTCTGACTGCCTTCCTTAAACAACACTCACTTGAGTAGTACATATTCAGAGTAAACACGTACACGTAAATCTTAGCTGACGGAGTCAGTACACTCTCCCACAGCAATCAATTTTACCTGCTCTGTTTGGGCACTCAGGTGTAAAATCATAGACCTCACTGGATGAAACACAGCCTGCATCCTCACGGGGCACAAGTCCGACTTCAAAATTGAGATCAAGAGGATAAAACATGGTTACGCCCTCTTACAAATAAATGGAATGCATAATTGTTTCATCAACACTAGTTCCTAAATATGCTGAAGCTGAAGAAGCTTCCTAAAAGGCCAAATCAGCGTACCACTCGCTATGAACGTGTGTTGTGCTTCAAATGTAAATAGGATACTGCTCTCAGATTGCTCTGAAGTAGTGCAGCCCTTTGTGTGACGATTAAAACCTTCAAAAGCATCAAGTCCAGGAGAGAGTCTGGGTAAATCTCTGTCCATTCTGCACCAGAAATATAACAATTAATGACAATGGGTCATGGCACATTTTTCAATGTCTCTCTAGTCTCCCTAAACTTCTTCCCAATCATAATATTAAATTCCTTAAAGAAGATCCCATAAGTGCCTTTTGGGCATATTTGCGAAAACAGTAAGAAAGTCCTTTTTCCTTTGTGTAAAACTAGTGATCTTTGAGGAATGCTTCATGTAATTTTGGCCTAATTAAATATATGCTCTAACCAACTGATCTGGTGTTCAAACTGAAGCACACATACATGAATTCTCAGTTAATGTGTGGAAATAATTCTCTGTAAGCAAGATCAAGTACTCTCAGAGACTTTTGCTAAGAATAGTGATGATTTAAAACCTTTAGGCACACTTTTGCCCTTCTAAGAACTCAAAAAGGACTGCCCCAAAATACTTTGAACTAAAGGAGATTGGGACAGCCACAGGAGCAAGGAGGTCTCTCTGATCTTTCCCTGCCTTTCTGCGTGAGGGTTGGCCATAGAGAAATTCTTTGACTTGTGTTGCCTGAAATTAGATCATAAGATCCTCACTCCAGAAGGTCGTGACCTGTACCTGGAAGGGAAGAAAAGCTACACAGAGAGGCCAAGAAGAAGCTGAACAGTCAGGCCTTGCTGGGTTCCTCTTTACAGTCTATTACCATTAGATCATACCCTTTTGTCCAATCACATTTCCACATGGCTGTCCTTTCTTCATTGAACCTAAGCATAGAAATACACAATTTTCCCAGGTCTTCATTTCCGAAGGCTCCAGTGTTAAGTAAACGTTTGATAAATAAATGTGCTTTTCTCTTGCTAACCTGTCTTTTGTTATAGGAGTGTGGGTCATGATCCTTATGACAGGTGAGAAAAAGTTATTTATCACACCTTTCCACCCACACACCTCCAATTACATTGTCTTCATTGTCAACTTTAATGGCTTCCTCCTATTCCAATCCTGGTGATGTAGTATTTAATTAGGGGAAGGAAAATGTTAAATTAAACAACAAAAATAAGGTAATGGTTATTTTAATAACCATTGGTTATTTTAATGGTTCACCCTTAAACACTCATGAGTTGTTAAATGGATCATTAAATCTTTTGCTCTGCATTCCTCAGTGTCTGTAAGAACCACCCCCCACACCCCCACAAACACATACCTATGCTCCCATGCACACATGCACAGAGTTTAGAAAGGTTTATTATGCATGCAGGAGCCATATTCTGAATGAAGTAAATACATGTTAGAATAATACAAAGTTAGCACACAAAATTATATAATCTCTTGAATGAAAGATGTCTTTAATAAAGGACCCTTAATTAAAAGTTCATTAATCCTATTCTCAATCCAGAATTACATACCTTATATCTTTCTTAATGCATTTAGCTCCTATAAGAATGCAACTGCTTCACTCATTAAATATGTGGTTTAAGAAAACATGTGACAGATTTCTACATGCAAATATTTCTCATGTATAGGGATTAAGAAAAATAAAGTGTGACAGTTTTCAGGCAAGATTTTTTAATTTTATCTATTTGTTCATTGAGACCCGAGGGTAGGAGTGGTCAGGGAGAAACATCAATTATTGTTAGAACAAGAAAATAACAGGAGGCATAATGTACATTCTTTTCAGTGCACTCCCAGAATCTAAACTCTGGTTAGATTTCCAAAATACCTATCTGACTAATTGAGATCAATTTTATGGCAATACTTTTGGTCCTTAATTGAGATTTTTCTACAAAATATTAATATATAGTGAAAGAATTAGCCAAACTCCACTTATGATTTGAAAATGTTATGCTTTGAATGTAAGCACAGAATTTTAGGGTCAAGTTTTTCTCCTTTTTTTTTTTTCTTCTTATTTTTAGTAGAGATGGATTCTCACTCTTGCTGAGGTTGGTCTTGAACTCCTGACTACAAGTGATCCTCCCGCCTTGGCCTCCCACAGCGCTAGGATTACAGGCATGAGCCACCACAACCGGCCAGAATCAAGTTTTAAATTTTTATCTGGCCTTAAGTCACTTTTCAAACACAGTAATTTTTTTTTTAATTCCTGGGTGATTCTGAAATATTAATATCATTAAATGCTCATTTGAAATGCCGAGTAAAGTTAATAGAGTCAATTTTTATAGAATTGTCTTTAAAACACAATTGTAATGCAAAATAATGATAATTCTTTTGATAATTCTTTGTAAATTTTATAATTTAAAAATCTGTATGTGATCATTTCAGCTGCAGAAGCACAATCTTTTCCATATTATTGGAAGAGAGACCTAAGGCCAAGATTGTGATATATCAGATTTTTACCCTTTTAAATTTTAAGGAAATGTGATATAATCCATGTCCTATATTAAGTATTAGTGACTCTAATATATATTATATTTAGATATCATGAAAGCTAATTAATTCAGTATTTTAATATTGCAATAACAACACATAAAAACTTACCATTGTTTTGTATGCTGGTATGTGGAAGTGATTTATAGGAAATTTCACATTCCTGAGATATACTGATGTCATCTAGAGCAACAGTAGCATTCGTTGATAAAATAGCAGCTTCTAAAATTACCTATAATTACAGAAATATAACATTAAATTATTTTAATAATAATTAAATTAAATTATAGAAAGATAAAATAAAATTAAAACACACCATAAGACTAATGTCTTATAATCATATTTCTTTGTGTAGAGGAACTCAACTGCATCTGTCCCATTTCCAATCTAATTTTAGAAAATTCTTTTGACCAGAACATTCAAATTCCAAATTTGTAAAGTCATAACTGCTTTGACAGCATCTTATGTAACCCTAATATCTTAGGTAACCTTGTTTCAATTAAAAGTTGTAACATTCATCACTAGTGAAGGGTTCTCTTCCCATTGGAACCATTAAGAGTCATATGCATTTCTAATGAGTTCTTTGGGGCAATCAACTGCATGGCTTACAACTCAATTTAATTGAGATATGAATTCATTTGTAATACGCCAGCTGTAGGCAATGATTCATTTTCATATCAAAATATTTAAATACATATATATTATGTATATATACATAGAAACATACTTAAGTGGTAAAGCACACATCAATAACCACATACAATGGTTAATAATATTCATATGCTAAAGCACTCAGAGGCATCTATTTAAGTTTAATTTATTCTAACACTTTGAATAATGACTGACATGATTTGTTTTCTTTCTTGTTAATCACTAATATTATGTTGTTATTCCAACATGGAAGGAAGAAAAGAAGAAAGGAAGGAAGGAATTAAGCCTGCAGTCTTAAGGGCCTGTGTAACAGACCACCAGTCCAGGACAGAGGTGGTACATACATCTTGATTTTACCAGGGAGGATCTCTGATCTCAAGGATCTTGCAACTTACTGTGTCAGAGCTGAGAACATGCTATTCCAAAACATGGTACATTGGAGGTCACTCTCTTTCTCCCTCTTTCTTTGTGAGAGCTGGCCATAAAAGAATTATCTGACTCACCTTTCCTCAAAGTAGGTCATAAACCCTTATGCGAGAGGTGACCTGACCTATAACCATAGGAAAGGAATGCTACACTGAGAGGCCAAGAGGAATCTGAACAAACAGGCTTGCTGAGTTCCTGCCAATTTATTACTATTAGATCATATCCTTTTTGTCCAATCATACTTCTACATGACTGTCCATTCTTCATTGAACCTAATCATAAAAATAGACAATTTTCCCTGGGTCTCTGGATCTTCATTTCTGAATGCCCCTGTGTCACATAAAATTCTGATAAATAAACTTGTCATGATTTTCCGTTATTAATCTGTCTTTTGATAATGGAGTGTCAGCCATGATCTTTGTTATAAATGAGGAAAAAGTATTACTTTTCCTGCCATACCCTTGGTATGATGCATTAGCAACTAAACTATAACATATGTGCTGTATCAAAGATAAATATAAAAATACTAGGAGAATCAAAGAGAAGCACTTCATTCCTTCTGCCAAGATGTGGGACTGAGAGTTCGGGAGGAGATTTGGAAGATTTGGTGGAGAGGTAATATTAAACGTGAGTTATAATTGCTGCCAAAGATTTTACCTCAAGAAACTGAGGCAATGAATCAAGCGAAACCAAACAGATATGAAAGTACATAGTATGTTTAAAAACTGGGGTTGGGTGTTACAGGAGTAAAGGACTTTAAGAGACCAACAGATTAATCAGATCAGGTGTCCTCAAACTACAACCCATGGGCCACATGCAGACCGCTCAAGACATGATCCGGCCTGCCAGGTGTTTTTGCCACTGCTGTCTGTCCTACTTAGAAGCCCACTCCTCCTGGGCCCACAGTGCGCATGTGTGGAATGTGCGCCGCACTCTCCAACGGCCCTCCAAGGGTCTGGGGGACATTGAACTTGTCCCCTGTTTAAAAAGTTTGAGGACCCCTGAATCAGATAATAGATGGAAAGATTTAATTTGCATGAGTTGTCATAGCCCAGCTGGAGAGCAATTAGATGGCATCTATTAACAGGAGAAATAGTATAGATTGTAAAAATTAAGCCCATTTCTCAGCATTTATCCTAGAGAGACACTCCTAGAGATGCCCATGAAGACCCGTGCAGGAATGTAGCCTTCAATGTTGATTTTAATAACAAAAGACAGGAAACAATTTAAACATGAAACAATCAATAAATAGTGATACAGGCCATGGAATACTATACCAGTTAAAAATAATATCTCTATGTGTTAATATGGAAAGACCTTCAATGTGTATTTCTGAGCAAAAATATAAGTGACAGGAAAGAAATAGATTACATAATACTATTTAGGACAACATAGTTTAGATTTCTAGGTGTATGTGGTACATATATACATATTAAATATGAAAATAGACTAGAAGTAAAAAGAAACTAATACCTATAAAGATAAAGACTACAAAGGCAGATGATGATGGTCATAAGGGACTATTGCTTTATTGGAAATTTTTGGTATTTTATAATGTAATGTATATAATTTTAATGAAGTTTAAAATTCTGATTAGAGCTGCTTTCTGTAGAATCATGACCAACTAAGAAATTTGGTCTTCATACAAGAGTCAGAAAATAAAAACATAGGTCTTAAAGAAGAATTCTGATAAAATACATGCAAATGTTTTAACTTAAAAATATGCATATCATATTTAACATTAATTGTAATTTATTATGAACAGCTTTAAGTTTGAAAGAATTTTATTTTTATTCATTATTATGATACATCATACACTGAAGTCAATTGAAATAGATGCTTAATTCTTTGGACTCATTAGACAAACATTTGTTGACCACCATTTGTAAAGGCCTGTGCTACTCAAAGAAAAAAATGCAGAAACAATATTTGAGGTATTTTTCTGTGCTCCTAGAGAGGTACATACTCATATTCTTTGACAACTAAGAAATTTGGTCTTCATACAAGAGTCAGAATAAAAACATAGGTCTTAAAGAAGAATTTATGAAATCATGCAAATGTTTAACTTAAAAATATGATATATATTAACTTAATTGTAATTTATTATGAACAGCTTTAAGTTTGAAAGAATTTCTTTTATTCATTATTATGATACATCTTACACTGAAGTCAATTAAATAGATGCTTAATTCTTTGGACTCATTAGACAAACATTTGTTGACCACCATTTGTAAAGGCCTGTGCTAATCAAAAAAAATGCAGAAACAATATTTGAGGTATTTTTCTGTGCTCCTAGAGAGGTACATACTCATATTCTTTGAAAGGAATGGGTAGGACCCAGCTGAGGTAAAGTGGAACTATGACATAAATCTTTAAAGCGTGTTTACATCATTTTGCCTGAAAGGAACCATTGGGCTTCCAAATATTCTATAAAAATGTAATGATAAACATAACTTTAAAAGCCAAATAAAAGGTATTAGCATCATACCTCTGCTTGCTTACTTCTATATAATTAAATTTAGGACCATAAATAAAAGATTATAATGCTCCATAATTCAGTCATCTATATTTTAAAAGAAAAATGGTTACTTCTCTAAAATACGTACTTACTTGTAAATCATGATCATTTCATGATTCAAAAATCATCTTCTCAAATAAATCATCTTGTCTATTTCTATTGTTATTGCTTGTTTTAACCAAGCTGAGTGGTGACCAAAAGCAGTTCCCTTTGGGAACGACAGTATTAATTAGTATCAGTATGAAAGAAAGAGTCATGTGGAGGAGGTGTTTCAACCATGGATGAAAGGAGACTGAAAAATCATTTTATAATATAGGTAATTGAAACTTAAATTTCAAATAAATCTAGATAGCTTTCCCTTCTAAAACTATTTTTAAGGATCTTGCTAATTTTTATTATTCATTAATATTACTCCCTCAAAGAGCAAACTAATTTCTTGCTTTCAGAACCACACAATTTGTAAATGTGCACAGTGGAATGATTACTTTTTGTATCTGTAAAACTGAGAAGCTTTACAGAAAAATACTCAACTACCGTAGATGTCTTGTTTTATAAAAGAATAACAAGGCAAAAACAAAATGAATCTTAAGAGAAAATAGGAATATATAAGAAGGAAGAGAGAGAAGTTGGAAATATATAATTGAAGAGTGATGTGCTATCAGTAATAAACAAAACAACCAACGTTACTTAGAGCTTAGTATATGTAAGGCACATTCATTTGTTTAATCCTGTGAGATGGTGCTATTTCATTCTCATTTTAAATGAAAGAAACAGAAGTCTTGCGAATAGAAGTTATTGGTGAAGGTCACATATCTAGTAAAAAAAAATGTAACCTGAGACATTAATGATTGTGCCATACTGCATCACTTTAATGAAATAAACTGGTCCTTAGCAGATGCTGCAGAACAGGGCTACCTGAGAGAAAAGATTTCATGCAGCCCTAGATAAAGCAGTCTGAGGACATAGAAGCTTCACAGAGACTAGATTAGCTTTACTTTTGTATTATAAATCTTACCCTTCACTGAATCTTCAAATAAAGTCAGGAAATTGTTATTGATTTATATCATTGACTCTGATAAAGAGGGAACATGGTATCCATCATTGTGGAAAATTCACAAAAGGTCATTTTAAATGAAATCTAAAATATCATACAATTATGTTTTAATAGGAAGCTTGAAGAAAGTAGACCAACTTGAAATCAATGGACTGTATTCAGAAAAAGGTGCCTTTAGACAGTAAAACTGAGCACAGCAATTATGGAAAAAAGAAATTGTATATTAAATGAATATATTGTAAAAAAACTGAACATAGCAAATGAGCAGGCCAAGTTAAAACAGATTGAAATAATACTATTAACTATTTGACCTAATAAAACTCACACAGGAAATGGAGGGAATATTGAAAGGTTGTTAATTTGTTGTTCTTATAGATAAAATAGTAACCTAATCTTTGCCGCAGAAAGAACTAATGACCTATCTAACTAGGGTGCGTATTTCCTAAAGAACTCAAAGCCATTTGTATTCTGTTATATGTCCACAACTGACATCAAAAGACCACACTAAATCAGAATTTCATGGCTAAATGGAACATAGAGGTCACATAATTCCATGCCTTTATTCTTTCCAATATTTGGATTG